TCAGCTTTTAACTTAAAAATAAAAGACAACCGTAATGATCAAGTTTATCTGCATGAAACTATCACCAGTCAATGGAATGCTTTTAATCTACTGTATCAGTTCTTTGTTCCTGATTGAGGACTGGAGAAGAGACAGAGAGTTCAACTGAGAGATTCGTGTGATCACTTATCATCAATTTTTGAGAGAGAGAGGGGGGGAAGCTTGGCAGAAGACTTCAACTTCTCTTGGTATTCTCAAGCTCATCGTTATCTTTTATGGATTTATTGTTCATCATCTTGCATGGAATAATTTCAGTCCTTCAATTCATGTCCTAGCCATGAGAACACATCAAGAACATTTGAACTACTTCTACAAGAACAACTCTAGCTGTAGCACCCAACATTATACAGCCTGTCTACTTAGGAACCACCAGCTCTACATTCTAACAGTCTTCAATCAAGCAATTCTTTATATAATAATTGATTCAGTAGCTCGATCTACTGCCTGTCTACTTCACCATCTCTATAACATCTTTCAGTCATTTTCTCAAGTAATTCTCCATTCTCCAGTTGACCTACTTTAGGGGTCAGTTCTTTATCCTCTGCTGGTGCTTACAAGAGAAGAAGCTACTGAATCATAAACTGAACTATTCTTCTCTCTTCCCCTCCTTTTCTATCTTTTCTTTATTCCTCTTTTCTTAATCCCCCTCTCATTTCTAAAACTCCAATGCTACCTTTCCTCTTAAATAGTTATAGTACTTGTATCTACTCATAATTAATAGTAGTACATGTAATTAAATACTATAATGTACATGTAATTAACTAATAATAGTACATGTACAATTAAATAGTATAGTACATGTACTTCAATATAATTATATTGTTGCTTACTTCCTCTAGCTATAGCTCCTCGGGCCTATTGAAGACATTAGCCCTTAAGAGAGAGAGGGAGGGAGAGAGGGGGAGGGAGAGAGAAAGATTGTTTGAAGAACAAAGCCTGAAGACAAGAGCATCTAAGAGAGAGAGAGAGTAAGAGAGGGAGGGAGAGAGATACAGGAACAGCAATACAACTAGTTCAATCATGTGAGTAGGCCATTGAGAGAGGAGAGTTGGGAGTGGGAGTATGTTCTGATATTAACATGTTAGTTAATTGTTTTCTTTACTTGATTTTAGGAGGAGCTGATGAACAGCAGTAAACTAAATTATGTAAGTGGGTTATTGAGAGAACTAGAGGGGAGGGAGGGAGAGAGGGAGTGTGTTCAGTATAAACTTATTTTCTTTATTTGATTTTAGGAGGAGCTGTTGAACAGCAGTATAACTAAATCATGTGAGTGGGTTATTGAGAGAGCTAGAGGGGAGGGAGGGAGTGTGTTTGAGGCATTAATGTATAAATTTATTGTTTTATTTCATTTTTAGGAGCTGTATAAAGGTAGTGGGTTTCAAGTCCTTGAAAAGTCCTTGGTTTTTGTGCAGTCTTTGATGTCCTCGTGGAAGTCCAAATTGTATCGAATCATTGAAGAGGTCCTCTTGTGTGTTGGAGTCTAATAGCTTTGGGGTAGTGGTATTAAGAAGATTTCAGAGCAAGTTGCTATTGTATTATTGTAATGCTAGTTGGGATTGCCTGCAGCTAGTAATATCTAATCCCTTGCTTTATTATCATTATTGTCTGTAGCTGTATGCATGCATGATATTGTTACTAGGGAATCCCTTACAGAGTCTGTGAGGGTCAATGGTAGGAAGTGTAGGACTGTGTAGTTGATATGTTACTGGTACTGTATTAAGGATCACAGGTTATAAATTATAATTTAGGTAATATAAGAATACCCTAACCAATGTGTAACCAAATGAATGTAAATTCCTATTTAATCACAATTATTTCATTTGATTTTAACGGTCATAAACATGACCTTAAACTGTTTCTAAGTTTAGGGTCCTAAACATGACGGTAAACTGTTTCTAAGTTTAGCTATTATTGGTGTGTTTGTATTATACTAATTGGTTGTCCCTTACTGATTCTGTGTGTATGTACCTGTGCCCATGACTAGGGGACAGAGTCCCTTGATGTTTCACATTATTGTTTTTAGTATGTTAGTGTCTGCTTGTACACATATGCATGATAATATATTAATGTTTCTTTGTTTGTGTTGGTACACGTGTCCTCACGTAGTGTAAGATCATAACGTCTCCTGGTCTCCAGTCTTGCTGTCTCTGGACAATGTTTGTCACCATTGGATCACTCCACCTGCTTGCAAGGAGACTTCAGTCTATTTTGGTATTTTTAATCGCATGGTCTATTAATTAAAGGAACCATTTGTCTCCATCAAATAATTCAGTTTTACTGTGACCTTGTGAGAGCTAATGTATCATGATCAAGAACATTCCATATGACTTACTCTCAATGAACAGTTCTTTGGAAAAGACATCATCTAACAAGGAGGTGGTCACTGTGGACACAGCTATAGGATGTTATCATAGCATCGAGGATCAAGCATCCAGCACTAATCTACAGTTTACAATTGGATTATCATCCATTACTAGCTGACTGAGAGGAGGAAGGAGAGGAGCTGATAGACATACCAGAGGAGGAGAGGAGAACATATCCTAGCTGTAGTGGATTCAATGAAGACATGAGCTTATTTTTTTACTGTATGGGTTGAGCTACCCTTTTTTACAGTGACCTGCTTTTAGTCCTGATCATGTGAGAGGGAAGGGGAGGGTTAGCGAAGGGGGGAGGGTTCTGCCCAGGAGTGTGGGCGAGGAGTCCCCCTTTTGGGTCCGATAGTGGCTCCCCGTATCTCATGCTAGAGCCCTCTCTTCTTCTCTTTCTCTCTTTTTCCTTTTTGTGTGATATGGATTCTAAGCAGAAGAAAGGATCAGACTTTTTCTTTTTATGTCTCAATCCTTTAACTAACTAAAACAAGGCAAACACTATACAGTTGGTCTAAGCCAGGTCACGGTGGGTAGATTGGTGAGGTTTGTGATGCAGGTAGCTTGATGAACCTGGGCACTAGCTTCCTAATTCTCATTCTAATCTCTTTCTCAATCCCGTGGCTTTGACTTAGGATCAATTGTTTAGTGTAAAATAAGTCAATAGCTCTCATTGTAGGTTTATGATCAAATGTAATGTTACAATTACATGTGTGATCTGACATTTTGATGCAAATAACGTGTTAAGTTGACACGATATTAGCGAAATCTCAATTCTGCGTTGCATTTCGTGGCGAGTGTCTATTGTTAATTTATAGGATGCACAATTAATTTTCAATTTAATAATTATTGTGTCATATTAAGGTTCATAGGTTATAGGTATAAATATAATGGTATGCTGTTATAAGATAAGAATGTACTTTTATAGCAAGGTTGATATGGTATGCATGTACATGTAGGTATCATTGTGTAATTTAAAGGTCATAGGTATAGTAGTAGACTTTAAGGTAATTTGAGGTACATTAGTACTACTTTCCCTTCCACATTTTAGTCTTATCCACACAGAATTAACTTATTATAATTCTCCACCTTATAATTCATTACTATAATGACACATTGTGGTAGATTGTGTATCAAGAGTATACTTGTTATTATGTTAAGGTCTAGAGGTTAGAGTATAATAGGCAAGAGTCACATGCAGTAGTGGTAGGAGGTAGTGACTATACAGTTATAATGGTATGGTATTAAGTATTGAGATAAGTTGTCTTACATTGTGTGGTCATACATTATAAGCTGTAGGTAGATCTATAATATTAATAGGAATGTACTTCTATAGCAAGGTTAGTGTAGGTATTATGGTATCATAAGGGTCACATGTTATAAGTTGTATAGGTATAGGTAATGGTATGGTATTAACTTAAGATAGGAATATACTTGTATAGCAAGGTTAATATAGTGTAGGTATCATTATGTACAATTAATGGTCACAGGTTGTAAGTTAATGTAGATAATGGAAGATAGGAATGTGTCCACTAGTATACCAAGGTTAATATTATGATGGAGGTAACATTAAAGGACATACATAGGTAATGGTATAGTATTAAGACTTCTATAATAGCAGGATTGATATAATATTTAATCATTGTGTAACACACATTAAACTAAAATCATATATATATATATATATATAAGTTGTATGTAGGTAATATGGTATGTAATCTCGCCCTGCCCCTTCGCTACCTGTGGAGGAAGGGTCTGGAGACACTCAAGGTAAAAATGTGTGCTCATGCAGAGAAATTCACGTCCCAATCAGATTGCTTGAACCACGTGTAGGACAAGAAGTCATGTGACCAAAGAGCTCTGTTTAAGACAAAAGAGGAAGAATGAGGACCAAATAAAGGAAGGAAGGAGCCTGTAACGCTCCCCTGGACTTCTTTCTCAAAGTTTAAGAGCAGCATTACCGTGCTGCTTACTACAACGATGCCATCGCATTTATGACGTAATAATACCGTCACGTGTTTACAATAAAACGTCATCAATAAAAAGTAAATACTATGGCGCTCTGTGAAGAGTTGCTGCTCTCAAAACTGCAAGAGATGTCCAAGAGACTGTATCCTCATCTTTTCTTAGCTGCAAAGTATCAGTTTAAGCTGTCTTGACGGATCTGGTCTCCTCTGTCACATGACGTAGAGCCAACCACGTGTTCTTCTTTCCACACATTTTTACCTTGAGTGTCTCCAGACCCTTCCTCCGCAGGTAGCGAAGGGGCGGGGCGAGACTATATGGTATGGTATTAAGATAGGAATGTATTTGTATATAGCAAGGTTGATATGGTAAAGGTATCATTGTGTCATATTAGAGTCACAGGTTATAAATTAATGTATGTAGGCAATGGAAGATAAGACTTGTGTGGTTAATGTGGTATAAGTAAATGAGAGTATAGCTGCAGTGTGGATATGATGAATGGGTTAGACACCAGTACACTGGTGACAATTGCAATATCAACTTACGAACCCAATGATCCACTTTATATCAAACTAAAGAATATCAATTAGCAAAGTTTTACATGTTTTCAATTGTAGTACTATACTGGTACAGGTTATAGACCTTCTGCACGTGACGTCACAATTAAAGGCGGGACTTGTAGCAGCCATACTGAGTGTCAACATTGTGCAGTATGGGTAAGTGTTGCTGTGCAGTTTATTGCTCAAATAGATTTTCTAAAGGCTCTGGTCTTCACTTTTATCGCTTTCCTGCCGATCCTGATCGGAGGAATCTTTGGGTAGCTGCTGTGAACAGGAAAAACTGGCAACCGACTCAGTATTCGTGGATTTGCAGCTCACATTTTATTGGTGGAGCTAAGAGCGATGACCCCACATCTCCATCCTATTCTCCTTCTATTTTTGCACATTTAAGCTCGTGCAAAAGGCAGGGCGAGAGTCAATTGGCAAGGTATAATCGTAGTAAAAAAAGATGCGTTCGAATTTCTGAGCTTTTCAGCAGTACTTCATCACTTCCATCATCACCTGAAGTTGAGCCACTACCGTCATCACCAGAAGCAGTACCATTGCCAATGTCTCCTGAGACTCCATCACAAGTTAGTCATGAGCAGGCATGCAGCACTGATATGTCTATGGGATATATTGAAAAGTTAGAATCAGATTGTTCTTCATTGCGTAT